CCCCACCCCTACTACACCCTCCTGTGGGCTCGTGACTGCAGCCTTTCTACTTCTTCCCCGTGGCTCCTTCTTGCTGCTATTTTTCAGCCCCACCCCTGATCTTAGGATAGGTATGATCTAACACTAAGCCTTCTTGGAAAAAGGCGAAAAAATTTCAAAGGCCCTGTGTGCAAGTTGGGCACGTTAAAGATCCCTTTGGTGGTCCAAAATCGATAAGAGTAGGCCTTCCGGGCAAAATTGTCAAAATTAATTCCTATCAAACTGAAGTTGTTCAATGTGTCCCATGTGCTCATATGGCCTAAATTGCACTGTAAAACACTTACCAAAAACAATCATTTTAGTAGGGCGGTTTAGCCCAAATATTCAAAAGGATTGTAGATATTGTGATACAAGCACGAAATTTGGCACACATGTATATTAACATGTTGCGAACATTTTCCTGATATTGGGCCCCCCGGAATTCTCTCTTTATGTCCGCCATATTGGGTTTCAAAATGGCCGCCATTTGAAATCTACATTTGCGATTATCTCTGTGGGTCAAATGCTGCTATTGACTTTCTTCATTTTGGGGTCTAACTGTGCCATGTTTCCTCCTTTTATTTTTCCCCGTAGCCAAACCCAGCACAACCATGCAGCCCAGCGAGGATGACAACCACTTCAGCTGGCTGAAGACGACGGTGTACGCGGTGATTGTGAGCACCATCGGCGTGGTCATACTCATCTCGTCCATCGTGATCATGGTGTACAGGGTGAAGATGGAGCGGCGGAGGGAGAGGCGCATCTCACGGGCGCTGGAAAGGATGCATCGGCAAGGAGGTGAGGGAGTGGGAGGAGTCCACCTTTTTTTCCTTCTTCTTCTTCTTCTTCTTAAGTTTTTGTCCTCGTCCATTTGTTGGGTGGGTAGGTGGATGGGCGGTTGGTTTGTGCTTGGGTGTGGTTTGCCTCTTTGTTCTTCCTTTTGCTGTTGTGATCTTGTTAGTGTGTTAGCGCCTATGAAAAAATGGCAGCTTACACTTAATGCAAGTTCCCAGGAAGCTGAGAGTATCCCCCCGGGGCGGTGCCACTGACTGAAGTGTCTTTAGGCCATTCCCAAAGGGGGGGACATTTCTCGTTCAAGCATAGTAGAATTGTAAATGGGCTGACTCATGTCACGCTCATAACTGTGCCTGATCTACAACAGGGAACTGCTGCTTTTTCTTTCCTGATCCTTTCTATTGTCATTTTCCTCTACTTCTTTTGTATGTTTGTCACTCTCTTGTGACCTGCTATTTTGGGGTGCGTTGATAGTCGAAGGAGACCTTGTGCTGTTGAAGCTAGAGAGGTGAACTGTCTAAGTCTGATTCCCTGTAAAGACTTTTCTGTTGACACCCACCCCTTGGCGCTCATATGACCTTATGCAGTTGCGAGCGCCGTAAAACCCTCTACAATAAAAACTTCCCATTTCCCCCCTTTTGGTCTTTTAAAAAATATGATAATGACACGCAGGTGGTTGGTGGGTGCTCTGGTGTGGTTTGCTCCTTCTTTCCTCCTATCAGACGTCTATTATCGTGATCTCTCCTTTTTGGTGTTTGTTGCTCTCTTGTAACACTTCTAATATTTGGCTCTTGTATGACCTTATTGTGTTGCAAGTGCTGTTAAACTCTAACTATAACTAGAAACAGATTTTATGACACTGTCCAAGAGAACCACTTTTCTTTTGACAATGTCTTGGACAATTAAAAAAGTATTCAATAACAAACAAGTTTTTGCGGATGGTTGGCGGGTGCCCTGGTGTGGTTTGCTCCTTCTTTCCCATCAAACATCTTATGTCCTTATCTCTCCTCTTTCTTTTTTGGGTTAGTGACTCTTGTAACGCTTCTAATCTTCGGCACTTAAATGACCTTATTGTGTTACAAGTGCCATAAAACTTTTCTATGACCTTATTGTGTTACAAGTGCTGTAAAACTCTTTCTATGAACTTATTGTGTTACAAGTGCCGTAAGACTCTTACTAAAACTAAAAAGAAGTTTTTCTCACCCCTTCTGTTTTCAGATGACACAGGGGAATCGATGTCACCAGATGGCGGTGAGGAGGGCCAGAGTGATCAGCACCCGTTTCTGTCGTCGTCCCAGCAGTACCCCCGCTACGGCAACATCATCGTCAACGTGAACAACGGAGTCCAGTACATGCCTGGCTACGGCTGTCCGGTTTTCATGGATGCCCCGCCCCCGTACTCGGAAGTGGGCTCTGATGAGGCTCCGGACACGACCCCCTCGGGTACAGCTCCTCCACCGTACAGCACGATTGACCGTGGGACGCCCGAGAGATTGCAGGCGCAAGAGAGGCCTGCGTCGGCTGCGCTGGGTCAGAACACCGGGGTCGTTCAGCAGCAGCAGCAACAGAGAAACGTGACGGCCCCGTCCGTGGTTCAAAATTGTCTGGGCGGGCAGCAGACGGGCACAGACCGAGGCCGGAGAGGCAGAAGGGGTCAAGAAAGGAACGACAGGCAGGTTGCTTCTCCGACGGGACGTGTATCTGGTGCTGGGTGTCCTGACGCGGGGAGAAATAATGCGCGAGCAAATCCCGATGGGAGAATGGTCGAGGCAGACACTTCCAGCGAGACGGGTGGTTCCGTACCCGTTCTTGAGCCCAGCCATCATGCGGACAGTGACCCGAGCAATCGTACACCCTCCGGTAGTCTACCCAGCAACATCGACATCAACCCAGACTTCCTGGAGTCTCTCCTGGCCTCTCACAGTCTTCAGAGGGAAACAGGCCAGAGGCTTGAAGATCCTGTCCAGAGGTCCTTTCCCGCCAACAGACCTGACAATCCTGGATCCTCGGTCAGTGAAGGAAGTTCAGGGTTCTCTGGAGTGGAAACGCAGGTTACTCCAAGTCATGGTGCTGAAGATGTTTATTATAATGGTGACTCTGGCAGCTCTGTGGATCAAGATCGTAGTGGAACATCCTCTCCTGTGCTCACCTCTCAGAGCACGCAGACTCCGCGGAGACACAGGACCCAACCGCCGGCTGGCAACTCTGCCGGCGTCAGTCCGAGTCATGTGCCTGAGGAGAGGAGGCTCACTCCAGATGTGGTGGCCCCGGAGGATGTCCAGCCGAGCAGCTCCGTCGGTGGTACAGATGGCAACAACCTCCAAACACAAAATGAGCTTGTGAAAGATTTGAACACAGGCTCCCCGCAGACAGGGGTACCTGATGGTGCGCGAGTCAACACCCCACCGGAGAGTGACCCTGTGAGAGACGTAGATCTGTCGTCTGGTGATGTGTTTTCGGGGTCAAATTCTCCAAGCAGGAGTTCTTACAGTGCTGTACCTTTGTCTGATGACGGCGAAAGCAACCTGCCGCTGTTATCTGCAACAGGAGACGACGATGATGATGATGATGAGCGCAGTGCTGGTGTTTCTAGCCCAAAGTTTCACTTTCGATATGACGAAAATAGTGAGTTGGGTACAGCGCAAGTTGACGACAACTTTGATGACAGCACTGTGTGTGTGAGACGACGCGATCGCCCGGACCAGACTGTCGCTAGTGCTGATCGTGAACTGGTTGCGGAGGATTTGCCCACAGCCCCGGTAGAAGAGTTGGCTGGTCAGAGTCTTCCAGACAGTTCTGAGGACTCGGATAGTGCAAGCAACGCTCTTCTGACAGAAGTGCTTCGTCGAGACAGAAACAGTAAGCCCAAGCCTGGTCATTTGTCTGTGCAGAAAGGACAGATCTTACTTCACACTGAGGAAGGTTTTGTCACCAACGATCAAACAGACCAGCAGGAAAGTGACCCAGCGATGGTTGCTGCTCCTGTACTCAGCGGTGAGCTGGTGGTCAAAGATGGAAACGTGTTACTTCAGCCTCCTGGCCGGGCTTTCTCTGGTGTGCGGAGTGTGCCATCGGATAGAAATAGGCCTTCTGGCGGAGCAACCAACTCCCCGTCGAGACAAGCTGGTGATCGTCTCGCTGAAGACGCTTCTGCCGTTGACTTTTCAAATGACCTCACAGACACTCACCCATCTCCTACCTCTGGCTCGGTGAATAGGCCCAGTTCTTACAGCGGGCAGCAGCAGCCTAGTGGTCACAATCACCTCAGCCTCAACCAGTCGTCGTCTTCCAGAGCACCCTCCTCTGCCGTGTCAGGTGCTGAAATCGGTGGTGGAAGCTCGGGAGCTTTCGGGGAAGAGCATCACTACACTCCGACGAGACACAGCGGAGAGCTCAACGTCAAAGACGGTTGTCTTGTCCTCGAGAGCCCAAAACACACGCCGTCTTCTCAGATCCTGTCACACCTTCAGGGAGCTTATGCGGCAGAAGAAGAAGAATGCGGCGGTGGGGGCAGGCAGAACCCAGCGGTTGATCCCATCGAGCCCGTTATCAACACCAAGCGGCCTGCTGGCGCCGCCATCCCCCGCCCACCGCTGCCCAAACTTCATAACACGGATTTAGTTTTCCCTTTGAAAAACCATCACCCATGAATCTGTAACTCGAGAGATATTAATATGGTATTCATGGTTGCATTGTTCACGTTCAGTGGATATGTTATCCCTGCCCACAATTTTCTAAACTTCATCATGACACAAGTTTAGTTTTCCTTTAAAAAAACATCACTTATGAATATAATATAACTCAAAAGATATTAATTGGTCATTCATGGTTGTATGGTTCACATTAAGAGTAGATATTTGTCAGCGTCTGAAATGAACCGATGTATATTTATGTCTTCATCAATTTTGACAGAGTGTGGAAAATATTGTGCTCATTGAGCGCAAGGTAGGTTGTGTTAACTATGGTAAAAGCTTCTTTAAACCTTTGTGTTTCCTTAGTTTAGTTCAGAATTTTTCTTTTTCTTATTTCCTTTTTTCTGCTATGTCAGTGTTACTGGAGCCTAAAATTTTCACCAAGATTTTAGTCCAGCGTGAAACAAGTGCTAGCTCTTTAATTATTAGTGAGGGTATTCAGTATTAGTCTCAGTTAGGTAATTCGTTCATCAAACTTATTTTTTGTTACAGGATGGGCAAGGGCAGGTTCGTGTAAATTTAATAACAAATGTGTTCTCGCTTTTTTCCATAGAGGGTTGATAAACTTCATTTACTGCTCTGCTTGAGAATTTGATTGTTTCCCATTTGCATTGTTTTGTTGACAGTAGTTAAATTTTGGCTTTATCATCACAAAACAACATAGTCATAGTTGCACGTCTTATGATTCAGGATCTTTTACCACACCGTACAATGTTCTCTTATGTGGAATTTAAGGGATCTCGGTGCTCAGCGAGAATTGGCCGTCCGCTTAAAGGATCTGTTCCAACAGTGTTCCCTGTTGTTGGAGAAATATTATTTACATTTGTTGAACACGTTTTGCTGGTTGTTTTAAAGTTTTGTTTATATATATGTCTTTAGTGTACATTAGATATAAGCTGATTCATGTTTAAAAAAATTTTTTTGATATGTTATGAAGTCATGAAAGATGTAAAAACTTTCTCTTAATAGTATAACCACTTTAGATCTGTGAACTGAGAATTTGAACTTCTCCGCATTAGAATTAGAAGAGTCCAAATCAAGTGCTGTGGTGAGTGGAAAAGTTGAGACATTAGGTAAACCTTGCAGTGACTTGAACATCCAGCGGAAATTCCTAAAAATTTGAAGGGATTTGAGATTCTTATCCCAGCAAAGCATAAACGATATGCAGTGTTAGAGCTGCTAAATTAAACTTTGTTGTTGTTGTTGTTGAGATGGCTGCACTGCCTGGCGTTACTTTTTGTGTCTTTATGAGAAAGTAAGGTTTATCCTCGTCTGGTGGATCATTCCTATTCGGATCCCCTTGTTCCATGCAATGGTGGTTTGTTTTGTTCTCTCAAATTCTTCACAGGCCAAAAATTGTTGACACATCGGCTCGCGAATCGACGCGTGATTTGACCAAAACACAAAGAAACTTTTATAAAGGCATTGAGAATCAAAGCATTGTTGTTGATCGGAATAGCATTCGTTTTCTTCTCCATATCATTGTCCTTGCTGATGAGTAGAAATCAATACTGTTGCACAGTATATTGCTGCTTCAATAAATGTTCTGCTCTTCTGTTTTTATACATTTCTTTAGAAATCAGTTGTTTTATTAATTATAGATTTACTTTTAATTTTTTCAGTTGAAAAATGATTTTGGATTTTTTATTTTTAACCTTTTTGAGGTGCCTAACCCATTGATTGTGATCAGCATCTTTTTGCATTGTTTGTGACCAAATTCAGGCACAGCTTGCCTTCAAGTGCTCTGTTGTTATGTATGTGGAAGCACCAGTGTATTTCATGGTATGTCAGCAGGGTTAAGACTTTAGTCTCACTCCGTGATAGTGCACCGTCAAAACTGCGTGGTGACTTCCCAGTTTATTGTCCTGCCTTTGGTGACTTCGGGTGGTTGGTTTTTTGTTTGTTTTTTGTTTTTTGTTTTGGTGTGTGTATTTTTTTTTCCTTTTTAATCCATTACACTAACTACAGCAAGACTAAGAATCAGTTATTGAATTGTATTGTTGTTGTGAGTTGTGATTGCAGAGGGGGGGGGTTGTATAATATGTATTATATATCTGTACATGAATTAAATGAAACAAGAAACTCAAATGGCGATGTTCATCAAACTCATATCATCATTACTGACAACATTTTGTCTTCTTTTTATGTCTGAAATTAGATTGTTTTTCTACACCTTTCTACACTAAAGAGAATGTGTCAAAATCTGTTTCCAGCCAAAAGTGCTAACTTTTGTTGTTACTTTGAGCAAAATGCTGCCTCCGTTAGACGAGTGAATTGTCTGGGGTGTTTGTATCAGGGTGGCGCAAAGTGATCTGAGGAACAAAAGAGTTTTCAGGGAAAACGAATATTTTTGTTTTGAAACTCTTACTCGAAGTGGTGCTTGTTTTTTTTTAGAAGGATGCGAGTCAACAAAAGGTAATAAGTTCTTGTTTTTTTTTTTCCTTTGAGAATGTACACTTTTCATCACTTTATTTGTTGTTAGTTGATCAAAGACTTGCCCAGCATTTCAATGTGAATACAAGAGTGAGGCAAGGGTTTATATATATCTCTCCCCCCCCCCCCCCCCCCACACACACACACACTCAAACACACATACACATTTACTTATATCTTGGTTTGGGTTAATTTTTTTTCTCCAAAACACATGCAAGAAAAACAGACAAACAAAAACAAGTTTAATTGAGGAATGGCCTTAACTTCGCCAAAGATAATCAGAGACTTCATAATTAAGACTTTCCAGGTGGTGAAGAAAGTTGCTTTTGATGTGACCAATGAAAAACAATAATTTATTTATGTTGCCTTATAATGCAACGATTGACAACGGCCGAGGTTCCCTTAATGCAAAAATCACAGCTGTACTTGACGAGGCTATAATCTTTCAACTATCGCTAATGGACAAAGATTTAAGCTGTATGCTTCACTTTACGATAATGACAATAATAGTTTGTCCGTCGATGTCTAATGATAACCAGTGCATCTGAAAGAAGAAAATTTCTTTAAAGTGAAACAGAAAAAAAGTAAGTGTTGAGACTTGTGGCTTCTGCAATAGCCAATGAGACGACCAGTTCTGGCAGAGAAAAGTAAGGTTTCCAACTGGATTGAACATTTTTAAGGGATCTCTGCTCTTTCATTTGCAAAAATCATTTGTAGAGCTTTACACTTTACTGCATTTTTGTTGTTGTGGAAATTGAAAAAGCTACTCCAATTAAGTTCTAAGAAGAAGAATTGTGAACGAATGGGCACCAGTGGAACATGTGACAATATTTGACATTTTGAAATAATATGTAAAATTTCAAAATTGAACTTTACAAGGATGAAAATATGTGATTTGTATACTTTGACAATGTATGTAAATGAACTATTTTATTCTCATGAAAACATGAACTATGAACAAAAGGCATTCTATTTATCAGTTGCTACTTTAAACAATTTTTGTTACATCCACAAATTATCTGGGCAGTGGTTTCTGTTTATACTTTTCCTTTGCTTGTAACGTTTACTGGCCTCTGTGGTGTTTCAGGTACCTGCTTTGCCGTTGCATGCAGAAGACCTGAGTTCGAGTCTTGTGTGGGGATGATATTAAAGAATATCTTCATCTTTCTGCTGGGACGTTCGTTGTATCCCTAGCCCAGGTTGGTCCTGACAGTAGGCAGGGTCAAAGCCAGCCTCTTAAATGATCTAAAAATGTGAAAATAATTATATGGATGAAGACATATATAAAACACCTACATATATATATATATATAATATTAAAGAAAAAACATCTTTGGGTAACATTCTCTATTGTACTTCTACGGTATAGCTGAATAGCGGTACTCATGTTTAAAATGAAAAACCCTGCTGCGTCTTCAAATATCATTAGCTCAAGAAGCTTGCTGATTCGCTAAATAGAATTAGAAAAGAAGCTCAGGTGTATATTTGTAATAGTGTTTGTTCTAAGTCCTTGAGGTGCGTACCGACGAATGTGCCGAATTTGAAGAAGTAAGTCACTTGTTTTGTGTCTAGCGGGGCATTGTTATGAGAAGTGGATTCCCGCCCTTTTTTTTTTTCTTCCATCGTGGGTGATGGTGTTCAACTGCTGTTAGGCTAGTTATCTATGTGTTATCTAGCTGTGTGCTCTTTGTAATCAGTAACGCAGTCTTTTGAACAAATTCTCTGTTTTTGGAGTTCTATGTGTCACGACATCATGGTGGAATCAGGCGCTCGTAAATTTTTGGGCATGTGGAAATATTGGTTTCAACTTATTTGTCTTGCTTTCTGTGAAAAAAAAATAATACCCATCCATCTATTTTGAATAGAAGTTGAGATATTTGTGATTGAAGGAAGTGGGGGTCACCTGGTGTCAGCGATAAAATTCGAAAGAAAATGGCCGCCAAAGTTTGACGACTTCCATAGCTTGAGAGCCCTTGGAAACTGAAAATTTACATTGTCGGTGCCTTCATTACTTCAATCAGTTTTTCAGAAAAATACACACAGAAATGTGTTTTTAAATGGACATGAAAGGTTTCAACCCCCCCCCCCCCCCCCAAAAAAAAAAAAAGAATTGCCGAACCTGTGGTAAATGTCAGGGTTGTTTTTTTTTCCGATTTCATTATTTTGACGGTTTCACCATGAGTCACACATATGCTTTTTGATATATGTGATGTGTGTTGACCATTGACACATAACAGTATCTGTGTTTATTGCTACATATTGTTCCTGAGTGTGAGAGAGTACAATGTACTGAGAGCATCCAAATGGGCACTGAGGCGTTGTTGTATGTTGTGAGAAATGACGAAGGATCTGCCTGTTCTGGTGTGAATTATTTGCACAATACAACAGGATAAAAACCCTGCCAATTTTTGCTAAGCCCTCCTCCCTTCACCGATCTCCACCACCCGCTGCTCACAATCTGCTGAGGTGCTAAAGCTGATTACAAGTTACAGCTCTGTGTTTTATGTGTTTGTGTATATGTATGTATGTGTTTGTGTTTGTGTGTGTGTGTGTGTGTGTGTGTGTGTGTGTGTGTGTGGAAATGTTTGTGGTTCTTTACAGTACTCTAAGCGTATCAAGAGTTATCAACCATTTGTTATTGTTTTTCTAAAAAAAAAAAAATGAAAATGAAATGAAATGAAAATCTCAAAACATCTATACAATCATGTCTTTGAGTGTATTAATGTATGTATGTATGTATGTGTGTGTTTGAGGTTTTTGTCTGTGTGTTTGGGCCAGTTTTTACGAGGCCTGCCACAGTCTGCGTTGCTGGTGCTCTGCAAACAGTTTGTGTCTTGTACATGAATGCTGTGAATGGTCGCCATTGTTTTAACAATGTTTCTATAGCCATTGTTGTTGTACATAGCTGTAGTTGAAAGAAGGACTTGTGATGAAATACTTTAGTTCTCACTCTCTACATAATGAACTGGTATTTAGACAAAAATGTATGATATTGGGTTTTTTTTGTTTTGTTTTTTTCCACAGTTGAATAATATAATAAATTTTTTTTCCTCAAATTTGACCGTTTTGCATTTGTGTTCTCTGGAATATGTTATGGGTGTGGTTTGAACCTACAAGTGTTCGTCATGTTTTGCTCCTGCGTGTTTATGTTTGTGTATTCGTTGTGCAGAGTGTTTCTCTCTATATTCTTTTCAGTTCCGCAGGTTATTACTACTCTCCTCATGTTCTTCCTTTCATTGCAAAATAACAAAAAATAATCCTCAACACTTTTTCAAGTAATGATGTCGGTAGTCTGGTGGTTAGACTACCCAGCGGACTTGTAATCTTTTGAGGTTGTAGTTTTGGGGGCTTGAGCATCTGACCCAACGTTGTGTCCTTGAAAAAGGCACGTTACACTTACACTCTCTTCACCAAGGTGTTGTAAATGTAAATTTGGCTAAAACAGCACCTGGACATGGATGGCTGGTGCCTCTATAAATAAATCATTGATGGTCTGGTGTTGTAAATGGGTACTGGGCCATAGACAGCGAAAGATCTTGTCAGTATGTTATTGTTTTAGCACTTGCACTGTTTACTTTCCATGAAGTTGAGATTGTTTGAGAATGCTATTAGGTTTGTTAGGGTAATAATGTAGACTGAATTGAATAGCGCATAGAGTTTGCTATTGAGCAGGAATTTTTGGTATGGAAACTAAACTTAAATGCTATCTATTATTATTATTTATTATTAAGAACTGGATTCTTTGCACACGGGTTTGAGGATGCTCCGTCAGCGCAGTTGGTATCATGCCGGACTATGGAGCGGATGACCCTTGTTCAAATCCCAGACTGGGTGTTTTTTAACTTGAGTCGCTTTGTGAGTGGAGTTTTCAAGGCTCTCTGCCCGTCTTGCTTGAGTCATATTCATATCAGAGTTGGATGATTAATTCGGAGGCCCTGCCTCTTAGATAACCTAACAGTGTTGATAGGGGTGTTAAACGCATACACTTTACACTTTATTCTCATCAGATTGCTACCGTTTGAATAGTGGAATAACACCACATATGTGGGGCAGCGTGGTGGAATCAGGTTCTCGTCAAATTACTCAACAAAGTGAAGAAACGTGTATTTTTCCGCAGGTTTGTGAATTTTTATCAAATTTTTACTTTTTGGCTCAACACCTTTCATGCCCATTAAAGAACTCATTTCTGTGTGGATTTTTCTGAAAAACGTTGATTAAAGGCACAAAAAATGTAAATTTTCAGTTACCACAGGCTCTTAAGCTAAGGAAATAACTAATCTTTGGCGTCCATTTTCTCACTAATTTTATCTCTGAAAACAGGTGACCCCCACCTCCTTCCTTTGGAAATATCTCGACTTGTATTCAAGATAAATGGATACTTTTTTCATCCAACTAAAAACAGGTGAACAAGCCTTAAGATGATACCAATAACTCTACATGCCCAAAAACTGACGAGAGCCTGATTCCACCACGCTGCCTCACATATCATTAGTTAATAGTACTGCTTGCTCAAATGTGCAACGCACCGGTTGGTCTTGTGAATAATTAAAAACTTACAGAAGGCCTATTACTTTATATTAATATAGCCCTTTTTTCCTCCTCTGAATGATGAATGAGTCTTTTCTCATGGGTGGTTGGCGGATACTTTATATGACCTAATTGGGTTGCAAGTGCTGTAATGGGGGTGGTTGATGGGTGCTCTGGTGTGGTTTTCTCCTCTTCTTTCAAACATCTGTCTCTCCCCCTTTTTTTGTATTTGATACTTTCTTGCAACATCTCTAATCTTCTGCACTTCTAAGACTTAATTGTATTGCAAGTGCCGTAAAACTTTTGCTAACAAAAAGTAAAATACATGACGATTTGGCCTAGTTCTCTGCTTTGAAATTTAAACTTTTAAAGTGATCTATTGGTGTCTTGTAGGATATAGTAAAACAAGAGAAAAAAAATTGAATACCCTCAGAAATTGGTCAGGCGTTTAAATAGTGACATATGTCTCCATAAATAATTAATCGGACTCGGCAATATAGATATATACATATATATATCTGTTACCATTAATCTCCTAGCACTTATTTCTGCTTTGTAGACTTTGTTGAGATCTATAGGGGGTGGTTGGCGGGTGATCTGGTGTGGTTTGCTCCTTCTTTCCTATCAAACATCTGTCATCCTCATCTCTCCTCCTTTTTGTGTATTTGTTACTCTCTTGTAACACTCTCACATGATTTATTATGCCTGCTTTGTGGAGATGAGTAGTGCACGTATTCATGCCTCCAAAGATCTGTTACCTTTCTGTTCTGTTTTCTTGTTGGGACGAGGATATAAACATCTAGCTTTGAGCTTGAAATAGCTTAGGCAGGCAGAAGGAAAGAGACAGTGTTTTATTGCAGTAAAGTCCAAGAAACATGACGCTCAACTCAAGAAGAAGAAGCAGAAGAGGAAAAAGAAGAAAAAGAAAAAGAAGAAGAAGAAGAAGAAGAAGAAGAAGAAGAAGAAGAAGAAGAAGAAGAAAAAGAAGAAGAAGAAAAAGAAGGAGAAGGAGAAGCAGGAGGAGGAGGAAGAGAAGAAGAAATTTGTGAATGATGAATGTTCTAGTTTGTAGAGATGAGATCGGTGTTTATGCACGTACTGTTTCTCGCCTGAAGTTATTTTGAGAGTTTTTCAAGTTAAATAAATATAACACATAATAATAAAAAAACGTTCCAATGCTCTTCATCTAGTCCTGTCAGAGGCAGTTGTAATTATTGATTGTATATATGTTCATACGGCAGCAGAACTATTAAAAATTGCTGCTTCTGTTGATGCTGTTGCTAACATTCAGCACCAGTGAGTGGCATATTTTCAATTCTCAAACAGTGTTTGTTTCCACCGTTTCGCTGTCGAGAAAGATAATGATGAAGATATTTAAGTACAGTGTATACGATTCGGGTTTTTAAAAAAGGCATCGTTTTAAAAATTGCGATAGTAAGATTATACGACGGAGGTCTACAAAGGTCAAATCCGGTCTTATGAGGGAGGCCGGATCTATAGGTCAATCTCCAATACATCAGTGGTGACGTGAAAAATCCCAAAGTGGAGCCAGCTGATTGTTGTTGTAATAACCTGCAAAAATTCTTGTGAATCAGGATGGCGGTATCTGCAGGCGCCTCCGTCATACCCAGGAAAGATGGATTTTACGATAAATACATTCGTAGCTATCAGATTTTAACCCAGGGACAACTGAAGCGACTCAAAGAACATAAATATAGTGCGGAGGGCCAATCAGTGTTAGAGCCCCCAATGCAAGTTTTTTGGAGATGGACTGTGGAACAAGTACCCTTATGGTGGGCACCGAATGCTATCACAATCATTGGTTTGATAATCAATATCGTGACAACATTGATTCTGGCATTTTACAGCCCAGACTGTGTCCAAGAGGTAAGGAACCATTGGCCAATGAAGCCCCATTTGTTGTATTGTTATTGAGTTAGAGCAGTAGCAGCAGTCAGTACACTTGTTATTGTTTGTGGGTCAATATTGTGCGATTGTTAAGATTCCCGCGTTTAATTCCGATGTATGTTTTTCAGGGTAAGGGTTAGGCTGGTTAGGGTTTTAAAAGGTTAGGGACCAAAATGAAACATGCCTGCTGACGCTATGAAAAACGCACATCGGAATTAAACGCGGGAATCTTAACAATTGGCCAATATTGATCAGCGTCCAATATACGTTAAACTGATGTTAATGTCTGCCTCCTTTTTCCATTTTTTAAACATTGTTTTAACAATGAAATATGACGCATCGTTCAAGGACCCAGCCTTAGCTTACTCGGATCAGTAAAGCTGATCAACAATTTACATCAATTGAATTGAATTGAAATTGTCGGTTGGCATTTTCTTCTTTGTTTTTTTAACTTGTACTCTGTCTTCTAGTTTTTCTTTGGTGGGATGATTGTTGGGGGCCTTAAAAAAAAATTTCAATAACAAATGATTTTATTTAATTTAATATAGATATCTAGATCTAGATAACATTCTCATGGAATGATCATAATGAATGCATTTATTAGCCTATAGATATCATGCTCTACAGCTATTACTATTAGGTAGCGACCGTAGTGTATACACATAGTGCGTAAGCTGCCCCTCAGCCTTCTGAGCGGGTGATTTAGGTGAGACTGGGGGTAATTTTAGTTCGCTAATTTAATTTTTTTTCTCTTTCACTGTAAAACATACTAAATGCTGTGCATGGTGAAAAATTTAAGCTTTTCCTATAGTTATAATGGTGTAGGTTGTTGTGTGTTGGCATATTTAGTTGGGGAATTAAAAAAAAAGAATAGATAGAGTTATTAATCGGCTTGAAATTATTTTGCATTGATCCTTCTGTGAAACTCCAAACCACACTAAATACTATAGACTATCTATAGAGTCTTATAAATCACTCGCCATGAGGGCCAGTGCAACACTTCCTGACTTGAACAGCGCTCAATGTTTTTGTCGACAAATCATTTGAGGCAATAAAATACTGATTAGCAATGGTGATCGCAAAGTCTTGACAACAATTTGGCTCCAATATCTATCAAAGTGATCGTACTATGTTAATGTACAGATGTTTGGTGTACTAGATAGGCTACTGTTTTATTATCTGCCAAAGATGGGGTTGCAGCCAATTAACGAATTTTACAGTATTTGATTATAATTTTAAACATCTGCCATTTTCTTAAACTTTGCGGTCATTTGACACAGTAATACGACGGTAAAAATGATCCGTTCCGGTCACTTGACGCACTTCTGCGAGAAGTCCGAGAAGTCCGATGCAGTCACTCTCCTGGCTAGGTGACCAGATGGGGTATTTTGTACTGATGGCTGTGTGACTGCAAAATTTAAAAATTGACTAAGAGGTAAAAATTGGGGGTGGGGTGGGGGGTGGAGGGGGAGTCTGGCAGGGGATGGATGTTTTGCGATTAATTTAATTTGTGACAGGGAAAATATTCTGCTGGCTGTCTCGCAGGTCTGCATCATAGTCACATGCTCAATTTCAGTTGATCTGTTCTGCCGTTGCTATTGGGCAGTTAGGAATATCTTGCTGTCTATGCAGGAAAAGAAAAAAATTAGTTATTACTTTTTTTCTTTGAAGTCATATATATACAGTCAAACCTGCCCTGATGGCCACCTCTATAAGACGGCCACCTGTATAAATGGCCACTTTCCATTTCCCCCCTTGCGTTTTTGCTATATAATTTAACTGTGTAAAACGGGCACCTGTCCAACGCGGCCGCGGCCACCTTATTTTAACACACAACCCCTATCACACTAAGCAATAACACCTGTCTTAGACGGCCACCTTAGTGACTCCATTACGTTTTGTCATAAATTGTGCATTGGCCCCTGGCGTTGTGGGCGAGCCGTCATAATTCAATCACCTCTCGTTGTTGTTAGGTAGTCCCTCCAACCGATCATGTTGCGTAGGCTCCTCCCACTGTTGACCAATAGAAGGTACCAATTTTCAGCTGCTGGGGAGGTAAGCGTGTGATAAGCCATAAACCCCGCCCAGAACTCATACACAAATCGTAAGTGCGATGAATGGTCACTGTTTACCCAGTCTGTAACAAAGGAACAAAGGACGTCAACATGAACTTGTGACATAAGCGCCGCTCGTTCTCCGAGTGGTGGCGACCCATGTGATTGTTTTAACATGGCACTCGGTCTGATACATTTCGTTTTTATTTTCACCCTTGCGCAAAATCAGCAACAAAATAAACATTACAAACAAAATACAAACCAAACAACAACAACAACAAAAACAACAACAATGCTGCTACTTTCGATTGGGACCTCAGATGGGAATGGTTTGTTTTCTTCATCTTGATCAGTCCTGCCTAAGACGGCCACCTGTCTTATACGGCCACTTTTCTCCTTGACAATGGGTGGCCGTCTTACACAGGTTTGACTGTATATATATATATTGTAACAAATTTGTCATGCTTGTCAGAATTGTCGTTTTGAGCAAGGCATGCATCTAATCTATACATATGCTAAACTTGCTGTGTACTCTACTTTTTATAATGTGATTTTGGTGTTTATGGCATCATGTTTTCTAACTTCTAGTGAGCAGACTTTATATTCTCTTGAAGTTTCGGTAGTCTAGTTGTTAGGCTTCTGGACTTGTAATCCTGAAGTTGTGGTGTCTGAGTTTTGATGCTCAGCTTGGCTCGGCCTAATATTGTGTTCTTGGGAAAGGCATTTTACACAAATTTTCCACTTTTCACCCAAGTTTAAATGGGTACCTGTACATAGACAAAGAAGAAAGCTTGTCTGTGTATGTTAGTTGTTTTTTTTAGGGCTTTTCAGATGACAGCTTCGTGCTGTTACTGTATGCTTCTCAGGAAGAAGATTGTTTTAAAATGCTATCAGGTCCGCTGGGGTAAGTGCATAGAGCTTGCTATTATGCAGGAATGTGAACTATACAAATGTTATACTATTTTTCATTATTGATTGTTATCAAATTAATACATTATATTATATTCATAATGGGAGAAATGATTTTTTGAGTTATTTGACTGAGCAGGGTCTCTGTTTGAAAACTGAGTTTGTAAAGTCAAACTCTGGGCTCATCTTTGCATTTAATGCTATTTCTATTTAAGGGCTATTTTTGTATCCTATCTGTTCACCGCCTGCTCCCACCTCAGTGTCCATCAACCAGCTGCTACGTTACTACATGGACTACACAAATGTAAACATAGCAGGAAAACGACCACAGTCGCAAATGAGAAATTGTGAGGGTGCCAATTTTAAAAGCTTGTGGACGCATAACTTCATATTTGTTTGAGTGGTGGTTTATTGCTTAGTGTTGTCGAATGGGAAATCTAACGACAATAATCAACCAACATTTGAACAGAAGTACTGATTCAACAAGCGTTCAAAATTGACACCCTCACAATTTTCAGTTTGTGACTATGGTCGTTTATTCCCTGTAGTCTTCAAATGTAAACAAAGGCCCTGTGATGTTTAGCAGGTGGTTTGGATTGGGGGGGGGGGGGGGGGGGGGGGCACTGGTCAGTCTTTCTTACTTCTTTTCTTTCTCTCTGTTGTTTCTGGCTATTGGTCTTGCTTCTTCACTGCACCATATTATGGCTTCTACTGTTGTGTCGATGTGCTTCTGTTCTGTCAAACTCAAAAAGATCTTGCAGTGCCTAGCATCAGGTGGTTGAAGGGAACCACTGGCTGTCCTACTTCATTTTTTTCCCCTTCTTTTGTTTCTGTCTGTCTGTCTGTCTGTCTTGTTTCTTTCCTGCACTTAGTTATATGGCCACTATTGTGTCGATGTGCTTCTCTTTACTCAAACTGAGAAAGAGCCTTTAATATTTAGCAGATGTTTGGGGGGAGCCACTGGTGAGTCCTACTCCTTTTCTTTCCTTCAGTTGTTTTGGTCTGTCTTATTTCTACCTACTAAGTGGGTGGTTGGCGGGTGCTCTGGTGTGGTTTGCTTCTTCTTTCCTATGAAACAAACATCTATGGTCCTTGTTTCCCCTTCTTCTTTTTTGTGTTTGTTACTCTCTTGTAACACCTCTAATCTTCTGGCGCTCATATATGACCTTATAGTGCAGTTGCGAGCTCCGTAAAACCTCTACTAAAAACTAAAACTACCCTACTAAATGTTCGTTTCTGTGTAGATGTGTTTTTCTTTACTCAGATCTCAAAAACAGTAATATTTGAATTAAAAATCAGGCTCTGAAGCCAAAAGTATTCACATGCCTCGCATGTTGTAACATAGTTAGGTCTTCACTTGAGGGGATTGGCAGGCATTCTGGTGTTGCTTGCTCCTTCTTACTTCTTAGATATCAAATTTCTATCATCCTTATAAATCTCTCCCCCCTTTTCTCCTTTGTATGTTGCTCTCTTAATAACAATTTTAATTGTGAGCACTTACATAAAACTTATTTTTTGTTGCAAGTACCGTAAAACTCTTATTACACTAAAACTACAGTAACTACATCTAAGGTTCCCCCCATGTGGCGAAACATTCGACATCAAACAGGGAAGAGCAGGGATATCTATGGTGTTCTCCCTTTAAAATAACCTTCTGTTGCATTAACCAGGGTAATTTCAGCGAAAGGATTAAAAAGCGAAGGTAATCCCCTGCTTGCCAGTGCGGACGTGGATGTGTGTTGTCGACAAGTATGAAATGATTGAAGCGGCGAGTATGGTGTTAAACGGGTTGTCACAAATCTCAGGTCAAGTGCCCTTCCACTTATCTCTGAGGGCGGCCTAATAAGATGACTGCGGTTGATAAAGTGGTTTTCAGTGTATATGTTATATATGAAGCTCGTTGAGTGAGATTGAAAGTCCACAGGATTACTATCATTTTCTCTTGTGAGATATTTAATGGCTGATATCGTTTCTTCCTATCTCTGGAGCCTTTTTTTTTCCACTTAACTTTTCGACTTTATTATTGTATTTAATCTTTGACCAGTACACCACACACACACTCACTCACTCACACACACACACACACACACATACACACACACACACACACACACACACACTCACTCACTCACACACACAAACACACACACACACGCACACTCACACACACACACACACACAAACACTCACACATATATATTTATATAATACTTTACATTTCTGAGATAGATTAAGAAAGCCGTATCTCTGTTTTGACTCTCACAACACTTGAATCCTCTTGAGAAAAAGGCCCAAACACTGTGTTAATCTTCTCGAGAAAAGGGCCCAAAGGCTGTGCTTTATTCATAGTTGAAGTTGAAACATCACATTATGCCTATCTTTAACATCACAAAGAAAACTTGAGAGAGCTTCACAACAAAATTGTATGGGTCTGAAGTGGGGGAAAGAACCGTGTCAAAGGTCAATAGAGGGTGTAGGCTAGCAGCTGGGCTTTGGTTGTACATGAGAAAGAAACAGTCTGACTCTGATGTCACCGAGTTGTGTGGTGTCTGTAATGAGAGATCACAGACCTTTGCCCCTATATGAAGGTTTTGTTGAGATGACCTCATCCTGCTATCATCCACCATGACTGTGACCTATTTCTAGCGTGGGTTGTTGGAGGGGGGGGGG